CAAACCACCGCGAAATGCAATTCTCAAACTAATATCTTACTTCAATTTAAATCCACAAATTAAGTCTCGTATGTGAGGCTCATATCATAGATTATTGTTAGATTTCTCCAAAGCTGATAGACATATTTATTTAATGTAACAGAGAGTGTAAAGTATTAGCAATGCGGCCATTTGTTTCAGATAACAAAATGAAGACAATATTTTTAATCAGCTTTTGCCTCGGCCTATCGACCGGCCATTTTCGTGGACCACATCATCCAAGGAGCAGCGTGTCTCATCATCATTACACACCGGACAGCGACGCAATCAAATTGACGCAGGATGACGAGCTCCTTCATGACGCAACGTGAGAAATAATTGAACAAAATAATTAGTTCTATAAATAATCTTGCTGTTTTATAATTAATATATATAATTAATTCCTTTATATATATAATATATATTTACTACGATATAACTAAAAAATTATTATTTTTTTAGTTGCTTACAAAAAAGAAGATAAACTTAAAGAAAAAGAACATACTTTCATTCCTCTACAATGTTATTTTTACAAAAAATTGCATTTTAAAATTGATATTATAAAATGTTAATAATGTAAAGCATTCAAACTCATTTTCCAGAAAACTTTGTTTTTTGAATTGTCGTTGTTGTAGCAAATGAGTGATCTTGTGATTATTTATCTTACGATTATAGACATTTAAAGGAAGATATGGGTTCCATAGCCGATCAACTCGATTTTTCGAAAATGACTGAACAAGAAATAGAGTTCCACTATTTTCAGTATGTTTCAGACATCAAAGATTGCTTCGTTTAGCCACCTTAAACGTTTTTTTACACATCGCTAATATAGAAGCTTCATAATTATAGAATTCACGATTTCGACAATAATACAAAGTTAGACGGATTAGAAATTCTTCACGCTCTTCAACATACGATGCATGAAAATGAGGAAGAGGGGATACAAAAACCGGAGGAAGATTGGATTGTAGGTACGTTTCAATTCCACACATTCATAAGATATACTTACATATTATACGATTTTTTTTAAGTATATATAAAATTATTCAATCTCTGTTTTGCCTTAGTGCTAATAGATAAAGTGTTAGAAGAGGACGATTTAAACAACGATGGATATCTAGAATATGTAGAGTATGTGTTGGGCAGACAAAGGGATCATGTTGCACAAGAGAAACGCAACAAGCTCAGAATCGGAACGTGAAGATTTTAGATATAAACGATTTGCAACATAAAGGTTGATTCTTAATTATATGTCAATATAGTTCGTGTCGTAAAATTGAATTTAAAAGTGACAAAGAAATGGAGAAGAAACGAAAGAAATCTTGGCGAAAACTATTCAAATAACATAAAACATAAAAAATATTGAAAAAGAAAACGAAAGACAGAAAGTGAAACAGAAAATAAAAAACGATCAATATAAAATTGCAATCAAATAATATAAAAGTAATAAATTATCTTAATTTATTCATTGAGGAGGATCCTAATCGTGAGTCGAAATGTTTGAATTTCTGTAATAATACATAATAAAATTGATTATGCAACAATAAATGGCGTCGACTTTAAAAGTTTTATTCCAGTTTGATTTATATATAATACAACTAATAACATGAATAAACTTAATATATATTATACAGTCATCATTTGTCATAAAATTCGAAACATCTAAATCTATCTTCTGAATATTGATATATAATTAGGAACCATCGTATACTTATAAAAAAATTATAAAATATATTGTAAGAGCTAATACAAATTATAAAAATTATAATAGAAATCAAGTATTGTTGATATCATACTGCTAATATTCAGTCATGTAACCGGTATTCAATAATTAAGTTCGGTCTTGAGATGTCACGAACCAATCAGAAGGCTGCATCAGCGTCTTATGACGTTATGACATTACTTAAGACGGTTTTGAAATAAGAACCGACTATGAATACCGGTCTAATACCATTATACACAATTTTTTACTTATAATACTTTACTTATAATACTTTACTATTGTCCGTTTGTGCAAGAATCAAAAAAATTTTTTTTTCAAAATAGATAAACTACATATAACATATTTTAATAGATATTTATATGAAGAGCTTTGTATCATGGACCAAAGAATTAACTTGGACGGAACATACGTTGTCGATTAGGACAAAGGGAGTTCAAGTTTAGCAGCAAAGGAAAATCTCTCGAATCAGACGCAAATGAGATTATTTCAACTCGGTGTCATTCAGCTTATATCTCATATTTTTTTTTTATAACTACGATGATATAGCTTTGTGTACAAGAAAAGTTACATTCATATAAGACCATGGTGGTTATCCATGTACATAACACCATGAATGTATATAATACTCACGAAAAAGTCGAAATGAGCGAATTTAACTAGTGTGCCACATCATCCTTTATCATTAATCCTTTACAGCTATTCCTTATGGAAATGCTCCGTCCGGATATGTTTGGTTTTCTCTCTTCTTAACAAAAAATCTATTTTGGTTCTTCTTTGTCTTTTTTTAAACTTACACTGTTCAGAGGAATCTTCGTTATAATTATATTTTTTTCCCAAAGATCTTTCACTACTTGAATCTATAATAGTCAAAATAATCGCAAATTAACATTGTACACACATCACTTAATAAAATATTGCAAATATATGCTTCATACCTTTGTGTCAGCATTTCCGATTAGCAGTTCCTTCACAGATATAAAGTTAGGATAGGCTGCTATTATTTGTTTAATCGCAGGCACAAATTCTTTGTCAATTTCTAAACATTGTGGCTCATATTTGTGATATACTTTGGAATTTTCGGTAGAGTAATATATTTTATATACTTTAGCTTCTTTTATTAACCTAATAATACAGTAACATAATTATACAATATTATCGTTTTTGAACTCGTTTTTCAAAATGGATTATAGCTCACCTGATGGAATACAATCTTAACAATCGTATCTCAGTTGAAAGTCTAATTTGCCCATAGTGCTTCACAAGTCCATTACTGCCCAGGACGTCACCGGCTTCCAGTATTGAACACCTCCGTTCCGGCTTAAAGAGATAAGGAGGCAGAGAATCATGGATGTGACCTTTGGCCATCAAATCGGCTGCATGGTCAACATCAATGTGTTCCAACAGCAGAGTAATCAACTTCTTAACATTAGTCTTGAAACGATCTTTGCGCTGACTTTCATCATATGCACTACCGACATATGATAAATAATTCATCGGTACTCCTTTACGAAAACGAATATCTTTTTTGCTGGCTTGCTTCAGAGCTTGTGGAAGCACTTTTTCAAGCAAGTCGCACCAACTATTTCTCTGATATACGCTTACTGTGATGTGCAAGCTATAAGTATCGAGAGCCATTGCTTGATGGATGGTACCTCGTGGTAGATACAACAAATCTCCAGCGTTGATAACCTTATCCAATATTAGCTCTCCTAACTCCGATTCATGAAAATTCTTTGAGGAATATCTCGTCAAACGTGCACTTTGTTTAAGTGGCTTATATAATTTCCATCTCTTTTTACCCTCGACTTGCAAAATAAATGCTTCTACATCATCATAATGAGGAGCGAAACCTTGGCTATTAGGTGGCGTGAGATATATATTAGCACCAACAAAGCAACCAAAGAATTCTTGGAGAGTAGCTACAAAACATATTATAAATTTAAAAAAATAATAAATTCTTAAAATATAATACTGTATTTACCATTTAACGCATGTATCCTGGGTATAAATATTTGAGGATTTAACATCCTAACTGAGCAGTTGTTTCTAAAATAGTCCCAAACAACACTTGAATAAGCACGACCAGGAGGATTATGAGTCTCTCTTACTCCATTAGAGTAGGACGTTATGTCAAGATTTTTAGTAAATAGAATATTATTATTTTTCAATGTTTCTTCGAATATAGACATTGATAAAAGGAGTTTATAAAAATTACACATATCTCTTTGTATAAATGTTGGATTCTTTTCCCAATTTCGTCTAATTCAAAGAAAAAGATTGATATTAATGCACAACAAAAAATGTACAAACATACATAAATTGTACTTATCGATTTTAACTTACTCGAAGAATTCTTTTACAGTCAAAGGATACACCAGCCATTTAAATAATTGTTGACAATCATCAACAGGATTGCGTTGGATAGGATCATTTTTATTTATCTCAACTGCATTAATTAAATCACTTGAACTTTTATTTAAGTGATTTGAATTTGTACCTGTATTTAAGTTACTTGAATTTGCATTTGTATTCAAGTGACTTGAATTTGCATTTGTATTCAAGTGACTTGAATTTGTATCATTTAAAATATTTTCCCTGCTTTCTGTTCTTATATTTTTTGCATGAATAATCTGAACAGTTCCTCTTTTCTTTTTAGCAGCCTTTTTATTTTTTTTATTCTTTTCTTTCATAATTTTTGATTTCGATTTACTCAAGACACCTTTGCATCCCATCTCTTTCTTTATGTTTGCTTGTTTAACATCTTTTCGTTTTTTGTCAAAAACTTTCTGCTTTTTTTTCTTTTTATTCAATAACTGTTCTGTATTTTTACGTTTTACTGCATTATACATGGCAAAAGCTGACATTGGCTCCATATTACCTGATATTAAATATTAATTCAAGTACAATGAAATCTAACTTAAGTTTATATTTCTTAAACGTTAAGTTAGAATAGTCCAACAGCTTATCAAAAATAAGCCAGCAAAGAGATTCTTTGGCGGCTCTCTCCTGTCCTTCACTGGTTATTAGTGATTAAAGTGCTCTTAACCTATCTGTTCGATTATAACACAAATTCTTGTACCTGTAATAACACTTTCTCTGTAATGACTATATTTCAAAATTAAAGTTAAATATAAAATTTATATAAATTTTCTCGTTATAAAATTATAAATATCGCTTTCGTTGCAATCCATTTTCTTCTCTTTCAAAAGCAAAGTGTTACTAAAATAGGTTAGATTCCATATATAACATATATTGTATTAATATGAAAGTTACGTAAAGAATTAATTAAGTCAATACATAATCAGAAAAATTTTATAGTTTTATGAAAAACTGCGATGTAACTTATTGTTAAACATACCTTTTTTTAATATCAAGCTTGCACGTGATGACAAAACACGTGGTAACGAATAGAACATTCGTTAGAATATCCACGTGGCTCTAGTCAGTAGCCACGTCACAATCACGTCACAAGTAAACTTCCTTAGTATTCAAATATTTGAATTCTAGATTCTAGATTATTCTTTGACAACCCCTAAAGGTGCATTCACATGCAAGCGTCAAGTGTCAAGCAGCGGAAGCAACAACCAATCAGCTGGACGATACGGGCAGTGGTGTAAAAAATCGCCTCGTTGATTGGTTGCTGCTTTCGCTGCTTGACGCTTGCATGTGAATGCACCTTAATTCCAAAGATTGCTATTTCATTTGTTCATTTTTGTCGTATAACAAATTTTTCAAGTATGTTGATTGGCTGTAAGACAGAGAGATTCAAAGACCTTTCTGTCCTCTTTGTCTCTATTCTGGAACTTTTAACGCACTTCGGTATAATTATACCTGTTATTGCGCAGCTTTTTCACCATGTAAAATACCTGCGCAACCTAACTACTAAAATTATCGTTAAAAAGGTACAAAATAGGCCTATTTTATTCCGATAAAAAAAAGAAAGAGATATTCATCCCTTTTTTATCTAATGAATAAGAATTAAATTAAAATATAAAAGAATATAAAAAGTAAAAAGTATGAAATATTAAATCTAAAGGGATCAAATTGAGTTTTAATTAAAACGGAAGACAATTGTGGAATTTAATTTTCTTTTAGATTTTTTTCAGCCTCGCAAAATAAATTCCAGTAAATTGATAAACTCTAAATATTTCTTGCGAAGAACAATATTTCATCTCATCTCTTTTTGAACATTGCCAATTTAAGAAGAGATACGATAAATTAAAAAATACCGGTGTTAATTATATATTAGATATAATTACAGATTATTTGAGAATAAGTTACGAAAAAGAACGATGATTTTTAACAGCATATTTTTCGCGCAGAGTCAAGTAAAAAGAGAAGATAATGTAGATTTTTTCAAAGTTTATTTAGATCCATTAAATCTATACCACCCATAATAAATCTTATGTGACTAATTGTAAGTTCTTTTATCTAAAAAATCTATACATAATTACCCGGAAAAAGTAAGATTAAACCCGTACACTGCGATACATTGCATGTTAGTCGAGTCACCGTATTCTGCACTCTACTTTAAACCGCTTCTTCATACGCTAACTCTCCCATTAATTAGATACATCCTCATCACAATCGGTTTAGAGCGGCATGCCGAGCACAGAGACAATAATTTATTCAATGTTTTGGACAATTTATAACGCATATGGAATTGTTCTGCATCATATTAAAGTCACACATAATGTTTCAAGGGAGTAGTCCGTATTTCAGTCGAGGTATCATTCAATACAGTGCGTAAGTGCGTGTATGCACGTGTGTATGTGTGTGTGTGTGTTTATTACATATATATACATATATACTCTCTAAATTCTTTGGAATAGAATCTCAATTTTCAATCTTTAAGAGTCAGATTTCACTCTTCAGAGTGAGATTCACTCTAAAAATGTTAGAGTATATAATATATATATTATATACATATATGTGTGTGTGTGTGTAATAATTTATATACACATTGCGGATAATGCTCTTGAAGATCTCGTTAAAACTTATAATCGCTATAATTAATGTCGCCACGTTATCTTATATATTAATTGCCAGGTATTTCCTTTGCGAGCTTATTTCGTATGAATTACGATATTTTATATATATTCTTTTAGCGTGTACCAGTGAATCAAATTCCTTTCCTCCTCCTTTCAATGACGTTTTTGATTGCATTAAGAATTAATTATCTATATACATATACATGGCATATCCTTACATTTTTCAATTGACTCAAAGTCAACGTGAATGTGGGCACGTGTTATAGCATTTATGTATACTTTGAAAATAATTTACAAAAATTTTTGCTCCATTTAATTAGTGGTAGTTTATCGTGAATTATTATCGTCGCGTTAATGTCTCTTCTTAATGTCAGACGCGCTTTTTTTTTCTTATTCGCGAATTTTCTCCATGGTACGCGCAGAGCTTAACTCGAAAGGGTCAACGGTCCGTGTTAATTAACTCCGGTTAACAATTTACTGATCTTTTGTTTTATAGATTATACAGCCACAGCTATAACGTGCACAATTATAATCCAATTACAACGGTAGAAGGTTCAGTTAAGCGGAGTTAATTCGCTGACCGAGCCTGGTGCCCAAGTTGTCGGAAACGTTACTATTACATAAGATCCTCTCGCTCTTCTCTCTGTTATAATAAAACTGACAATACAGATCGACAAGGCGCGAAATATCGAGATACGTGTTTGCTCGACGAAGACACCTCGCCTATCGCCGCTTCCCGATTTCGCGTCATGTCACGTTCGTCTATTACGGAACAAGAAGCGTCATTTTTATCAACGTTCTATAAAACAATCAATATTTGTTATCGATACTCCATTACTGACGTAGCTGCTATGATAGAGTCTTGTAGTTCAAGAAACCAAATACAGTCCCTCTCTGTTGACGCAACAGTAGGTATTAACTAGAATCTTCTCTACAGAAAACAATATAAAGGTCTAATTGATTAAAAATACTTGTTAGAACGTCTTTTAATTTTAAAATATTTTTAAAATGTTTCTGTATGCAGATCTTCTTTTAAGACTATGATGGAAATTATGTACACGAATTACATAAAGAGTGTTCGATATTAATGATATTTAAGAGTGTTTTTTATTCCATTATATCTACATTTATTTTTGTAAATTTCTTATACATTAAAATAAAAAAAAAGAGAATTTTATGTTAAATTTTGATGCACATTTGTAGTGAATGTAGTGAAATTCACATGAATTTATTTCTTTGATTGTAAATATATATAGATTTTTTTAAGTGCGTGAATTAAAAACAGATTAATGCCCAATTTTGTCATTTCCAGATAACTTACAGAAAACCTTATCAAGGAGATATCTCCATTGTATTCTGGGAGATATCTCTTGGATAAAGTTATCTAGAGGTGAAGAAATTGGACATAAGCCGTATGAGAGATACAAGTTTAATAGAATGAATGTATCGACAAGAAGTATTGAAGGTTCCAGAGCTTAATACTTTGCAGAGAAACGATTCGGAAACCCCGTCAACCCCCGTGTTACACAAAATATTGTCTTATATATTAACTTTCCTTAAAATTCTACATGAAGATGGAAACCCTTTCTTTGAACTTCGATTAATGGCTAATATGGTTACATAAATCGATCCGTTCGTTATTATACGAGCGGACTTTTGTTCATATGATCCTGACTATTTCTTAATCTCATAGAATATAATTATAACATCATAAGTTATTAGTAAGTATATCCGTTTAGCATTGTTATATATCACGCATATGTATTGTATTATCGATGGCACATATATTGTTACTTCGTTTGTCTTCAGAAGTGCGTTTAAAGATCACGGATGTGATCGATTATGATCCTCTATTGCATTCCCAGATGAATTGATCGTCGACCGACTCGTAATGCAGATGTTAATTGGCGAGTGTAATAAAAGAGGCACAAAAATGACACAGTCAAATATTTTATAAAAATTCAGAGAAAAACTGAAAAATATTATTCATTAAATATAATGGAATTTAATTAATAGCGGAAACCAAAATTCAATAATTATTTGATGACATAAAAATCTGATTGTTTAAGAGGCATGGATAAAATGCATTTGCATGTCGAATATGCTTTAAACTGTTCGCAAATATTTTTGTCATTCGCGTATATTTTGTTGCACTAATAGAATCGCGTAAATATAAGAATTATAGAATATTAAGTGAAAATAGATTGAGAAATGTTTAATATAAATAAAAGTGAAAAGGGTCATATTTGATCAAGGCGGGTCTTAGTGCCTAATATTATGTGAATTTTTACAATTTTCAGTTAAGCTCCGATTATTTGTCGGTCTTAAAACACAGTCTTGGAACAAAGGAATACGTAATATCACAAATTAAATTAACAAGAAGTTTAATATTACTGATAATAATGACAAAAGTAAAGATACAGAACTAAACATAAATTTACAGTTAAAAATAAAGCTTGCATAGATCGAAATATTACGATAGGCATATATTAGATCAGAAATTGATATCGCGTAATTTCAATGAGTGGAATTGTCGCAATTATACCGATCTCCATTCTTAAGGATAATATCACACTTTTTTTTAACAAAATGCAAAATTAAAGTTTTTTTCTATATTATATTTAAAGGTAATACAAAAAAGTA